TTAAAAAATGACAGTAAAATGCTTTAAAAAATCCACCATGAATGAATGGGTTTTAAGACAGAACATGGAAAAGAAGAAATACCTCAGAAAAAGAGTTTGAAGTGTAAAGTGCAGATTGTTTTTAGTCCCTTTATCCACTTTTCCACCTGTTTTCAAGACTGTGTCAATGTACGCAAGTCCCAGTGTAGGCCTGAAATATCCCAGATTCATTGCTACAATGTAGAGGCCCACAGGATCTCACACTCAACACCTCGACATTTGCCTTTCGGACAAGACAAATACAAGATAGCAATAGACGGAGACAAGATACTAGTTACTGTCTTCTATCAGATGAAATCACTACAACAGATGATTTAAAGAATCTTTTAAATCAGCCCCACTTCCATACCTGTCGGTTAGTGATACTGTACTTACTCTAAATCCTTTTTAATAGCTAGGATTTTCAAAGATCACTATTGTGCCTAAAAAGTGATTTGGCAGACCAAATCTTGAAACTCTGGTGGATGTTAACTTTTTAAAGTCATTAATAATATATGACTAGACAAACTAAAACCTCTAAATGAACTCTAAAGCCTCTAAAAGTTTGTATAATGGAGCTGAATGTTTAATTTTACAATCTCATGTGCAGCAGAGTTGTTGCTCCATTTAAGTTATTTCAGTTTTATTGTTGTGTGTCTGATTTTGGGGATGTATGCAAATCACATTCAGTTTAAGTGAACAGAGTTTTCTTCATTGTAAGACAAATGTTTGAACTTTAAACACTTTTATTACTTCATCTTTCTTGGATTTTCAACATTATTCTAATCAGGAATGAAAATCTAATTCAGGATGCAGTAATCAGATGACTGGATATCCAATATGTAAGGTCCATTATTTTGAGATGGATTATTTCCAAATATTTTACTACAGTGCAAGTTACTAGAGGATAGCTACATCTGGAATTATTAAACTTTTCCATGCTAACCTTGAAATAATTCTATAAAATTGCAGATAGTTACCTCTGAATGTGCTGCTGAGGCAGATGGAATCAAAAGAATTCTTTCATGATGCCAAATCCCAAATATACTGGAAGTTATTTACCTGAATGAATGAATTATGGTATTCAACTTCACTGTAAAAAAAATCTGAAATTTTACGGTTTATTTCGGGCAGCTGGGGTGCCGGAAATAAACCGTAAAATATGGCCATGAAATTATAGAGATTTATTGTAAAATAATGGACATTAAAATACATATACAAATTTTTTGTAAATTCCTGTAATTCAACAGTTTCTGTTATTTTACAGTAAATTTCTGTAATTTAACGTCCTTTATTTTAAGTTTTTTCCAGCACCCCAGCTGCTGAAAATAAACCTTAAAATTACAAACTTTTTTACAGTGTGTGAATAAAATAAAATATTTTAAAACAAAAACGCAATAGCATAAAAGGCACCTGAGGATGTTTAATTGGTGATACATGTGAATAATTTGAATTACTTTAATTTGTTACACCTAAAATAATTATTGCAGTTTTCAGTCATTTTTCTTTCATTTTTGTTTACATTTTCACTTTTTTAATATTTGGTAATATATTTGAATATAAAAATACATAAATATAAAATATATAAATATATAGATTTTAAATAAATAAACTGTTCACACTTTTGAACAGTAGATTGTTCAGTATAGATTGGTGCGGTACATGCTGCTTTCTGGGTTCAGTGCAAGAAAAAAAACAGCAAAGTAGAGAACAACGAGTGGCCATCCTTACTTTAAAAAATGAAAGTCAGTTAGACTGAAAAATTGGGAAAACTTTGAAAGTGTCCCCAAATGCAGTCACAAAAACCATCAAGTGCTACAAAGTAACTGACTCGCATGCGGGCCGCCCCAGAAAAGCAAGACGGAGGATAAGTTCATCAGAGTCACCAGCATCAGAAATCGCAGGTTGACAGCAGCTCAGATTAGAGACCAGGTCAATGCCACACAGAGTTCTAGCAGCAGACACATCTCTAGAACAACTGTTAAGAGGAGACTGTGTGAACCAGGCCTTCATGGTAGAATATCTGCTAGGAAACCACTGCTAAGGACAGGCAGCAAGCAGACTTGTTTGGGCTAAAGAACACAAGAAATGGACATTAGACCAGTGGAAATCTGTGCTTTGGTCTGATGAGTGCAAATTTGAGATTTTTGGTTCTAACCACCGTGTCTTTGTGTCACGCAGAAAAGGTGAACGGATGGACTCTACATGCCTGGTTCCCACCGTAAAGCATGGAGGAGGAGGTGTGATGGTGAGATTCAAAATTGAAGGCATACTGAAACAGCATGGCTACCACAGCATCTTGCAGCGGCATGCTATTCCATCCGGACTGAGTTTAGTTGGACCATATTTTATTTTTCAAAAGGACAATGACACCAAACACACCTCCAGGCTGCGTAAGGGCTATTTGACCAAGGAGAGTGATGGGGTGCTGCGTCAGATGACCTGGCCTCCATAGTCACCGGACCTGAACCCAGTCGAGATGGTTTGGGTGAGCTGGACAGCAGAGTGAAGGCAAAAGGGCCAACAAGTGCTAAGCATCTCAGGGAACTCCTTCAAGACTGTTGGAAGACCATTTCAGAGGACTACCTCTTGAAGCTTATCAAGAGAATGCCAAGAGTGTGCAGTAATCAAAGCAAAAGGTGGCTACTTTGAAGAACCTAGAATATGACATATTTTCAGTTGTTTCACACTTTTTTGTCATGTATATAATTCCACATGTGTTCATTCATATAGTTCTGATGCCTTCAGTGTGAATGTACAATTTTCATAGTCACGAAAACTCTTTGAATGAGAAGGTGTGTCCAAACATTTGGTCTGTAATGTACATATAATAAAAGATAAGTAAATTTTGATTTCATTTTTATTTTAGGTGGATCACTTCTAATATTCCTAGCAGCTATGTGTTCTAATGTCTAATGCAGCATTTACAATTTTGTGGGTGACAAGTCATTAATGGAGTATAGTAACTTAATACTTCTTGCTTCACCTTTAAGGGTTAATCCCATGTAGTTGTTCTATCTACTAGAGGCAGTGAAAAAGCATTGAGTGAGAGACAGAGAGATGGATGGGGCAGAGCGTTGATAGCTTTAGCAGACATACACACATGGAACAAACTCTGGGGGAGGAGACCAAAAAACAGCACATTTTACAGTTCAGTGGGCTAAAAACAAGTCTGCTCTGTGTGTATGTGTGTGTGTATGTGTGTGTGTAGCAGTTCAATTGACCTCATAAATGTCTGAATGTGGAACAAACACATTGCTTTAGCATGCGAAACATGGCCTTTAAGGCAACTTCTCACTGTGCATTCTTCTGGCTGCTGTTTTTTATTATGCTGTCATCTTTGTGTAGCTTCAGTCTGGAAGCATCTAATTTAAAATAACTGATTGTGCTTTAAAGATAACCTTTGAAAATAGACGCACAGTGAAAGAAACTGCCTTATGCACTGTGAAACTGCCTGCTGTGTGTAGGATTTTGTGATTAATGCTGGGGTTGATGTCATTCTGAATCAGGGATGAGACCAAACACACTGTAAAACCACTGAAGAAAACATGATTTGATTTATAACACTTGTGTATGGGGAGAGAGAGAGAGAGAGAGAGAGAGAGAGAGAGAGAGAGAGAGAGAGAGATTGTATACAGCAACAAAATGAAGGGTGACCTGCCCCCTGTTGTTAACATTGAAAACTTCACTTAATTTCCAAAACAGCCACAAGGAGGAGCCAAAGGAGTTTAAAATCTATACTGTAAAGATTAATGTTCAGGTTTATTATATTTTATATAATTATAAATTTAGTTTCCTCAGACTGAGTGGAAATCTTATTTAAAAAAATACACTATTTCATTTTTATTACATTTTATATTTAATTCAAAGGGTTACATTTGACTATAATAAAGATAAATAATGTAGAGAAATAATTAACAAATTGTTTGTGACTGTTTTCTTAAAAACAAAATAAAATAAATCAAGGAAATACTCATTCATTTACCTGTCGTCTTGGTCCCTTTATTAATCCGGGGTCGCTACAGCGCAATGAACCGCCAACCCATCCAGCAAGTTTTTTACGCACGGATGCCCTTCCAGCCACAACCCATCCCTGGGAAACATCCACACACACTCATTCACACACACACAAACACTACGGACAATTTTATCCTACCCAATTCACCTGTACCACACGTCTTTGGACTGTGGGGGAAACCGGAGCACCCAAAGGAAACCCAAACAAACGCAGGGAGAACATGCAAACTCCACACAAGGAAATATATGTATGCATAAATAAATTAACAAACAAACAAACAAACAAAAAAACAAACAAATAAATAAATGCATAAATAAATAATTAAACGAATAAATAAATAAATAATTAAACAAATAACTAAATAAACATATAAATGCATGAGTAAATAAATAAATAAATAAACAAACAAATAAATTAATTAATTAAAAATCAAAAATCAAAATTTAAAATAAATTCATAAATGAATAAAAAAATAAATAAACGAACCAATAAATTAATGCATAAATAAATAAATGAAAAAATAAATAAATAAGTGGACAAATAAATAAATAAGTAAATGCGAATAAAAAATAAATAAACATCTAAATAAATAAATTATTAATAAATAAATGCATAAATTAATAAATAAATCAATAAATGAAGGAATAAATAAATAAATGCTTAAATGAATAAATAAATGAATAAAAAAATTATAAATAATTGAATGACTAAATAAAAAAAAATGAACAAACAAATAAATGAATAAATAAATAAATAAATACTGAAAGTTTTAACTAAGCACAAAGTTAGGTACGTACCCTGTGGTCTATTTATACAAGGATTATGTTTGACGTGGAAAGGAAAAGAAGTATGAACAGCCTGACATGTTTACTGACAATCAAAAACAGTCTCTCTGTTTTGTTCTTTCTTTTGTCAGCTGTGGTCAAGCTTCAAATGCTAAAAAAAAAAAAAGAAAAACTGGCCCAGCACTCAGTCTTTTTTTATTTAGTCTTTTGTCATCAGTATTTACTTTTGAATGCTACTTCCTACATCGAGGCAAATGAAATGAAAGAGCCCTCCTCCATCATCCCTCCTCCACCCAGCTCTAAACAAGAAAGGAGAGAAACAAATACATTAGTCTTACTTCTAGGAAAAAAAAAAAAAAAAAACTCTTCTAGACAATGGATTCAATGGTCAGCATTTCTGCACAATGGGCTCCCAACATCAACCAGTGTGTACATTTTCAACTTTGTCAAATAAAAAAAAATAAAAAAATGCGAACTGTAAAATAAACAGGGTTCCACACAATTGCTTCATATTGTCCCAGCACAAATCGATTAAGTTAATTTGATGTTTTTACAAATGTAGGTAGATTTAACATAAAACTATTAAGTTGACACTAAAAAATCATAGGAATTGTCTTGATTCAGCTCATTTTATATAAATAATAAAAAAACAGGAGTTTTTGGGAGTGTAAATGCAGTTAATATTTTAGTTTTGTGGCATGTATCCATGTTAATAGCAGGATAATGTAGATCCAAATGGTTATTTTAGCAAAATAAAGCCCTTAAACAAAAACACTCTGGCTTCAGAACAACTGCCTATAATGTACTTTATCCCTTCAGGACCTTAATATCAAAATGACATAAAAAACACGTCAAGAATGTAAAAACAAAATTGATTTCAATTGACTAACTTGATGTCAAATCTAATGTATTCAATTTTGGACGTGTTTTTTTTTTTATATGAATGTTAGATGTCTTTTTGACATCAAGATAGTTTGTGCATTGTAGAGATACAAAATCAAATGTAAATTTGTAATTGAATCTTTCAGATGATTAAAACATATTATACTATAAATTATAATACTTTCTGTCTTGTTATATTAATGGTCAAAAGAGCATCAATGTGTGGACATCAAAAAGACATATTAAAATACAGAAAGTCTCATGAGAAGTCAAGAAAGCATCAATGTGTTGATGTCAAACAGATATATATCAAAAACTGTACTTTCTGTCTCATTACTTTAGTGGTCAAAAGAGCATCAATGTGTGAATGTCAAATAGACGTACATTATAATACTTTAAGTCTCAATATTTTAGTGGTCAAAAGAGCATCAGTGTGTGGATGTCAAATATACGTACATTATAATACTTCAAGTCTCATTATTTTAGTGGTCAAAAGAGCATCAATGTGTGGATGTCAAATAGACACATATTATAATACTTTAAGTCTCATTGTTTTAGTGGTCATAAAAGCATCAATGTGTAGATGTCAAATAGACGTACATTATAATACTTTAAGTCTCAATATTTTAGTGGTCAAAAGAGCATCAATGTGTGGATGTCAAATAGATGTACATTATAATACTTTAAGTCTCAATATTTTAGTGGTCAAAAGGGCATCAATGTGTGGATGTCAAATAGATGTATATTATAATACTTTAGGTCTCATTGTTTTAGTGGTCATAAAAGCATCAATGTGTGGATGTCAAATAGAGGTATATTATAATACTTTAAGTCTCAATATTTTAGTGGTCAAAAGAGCATCAATGTGTGGATGTCAAATAAACATATATTATAATACTTTAAGTCTCATTATTTTAGCGGTCAAAAGAGCATCAATGTGTGGATGTCAAATAGACGTACATTATAATACTTTAAGTCTCAATATTTTAGTGGTCAAAAGAGCATCAATGTGTGGATGTCAAATAAACATATATTATAATACTTTAAGTCTCAATATTTTAGTGGTCAAAAGAGCATCAATGTGTGGATGTCAAATAAACATATATTATAATACTTTAAGTCTCAATATTTTAGTGGTCAAAAGAGCATCAATGTGTGGATGTCAAATAAACATATATTATAATACTTTAAGTCTCAATATTTTAGTGGTCAAAAGGGCATCAATGTGTGGATGTCAAATAAACATATATTATAATACTTTAAGTCTCATTGTTTTAGTGGTCATAAAAGCATCAATGTGTGGATGTCAAATAGATGTATAGTATAATACTTTAAGTCTCATTATTTTAGTGGTCAAAAGAGCATCAATGTGTGGATGTCAAATAAACATATATTATAATACTTTAAGTCTCAATATTTTAGTGGTCAAAAGAGCATCAATGTGTGGATGTCAAATAAACATATATTATAATACTTTAAGTCTCAATATTTTAGTGGTCAAAAAAGCATCAATGTGTGGATGTCAAATAGATGTATAGTATAATACTTTAAGTCTCATTATTTTAGTGGTCATAAGAGCATACATTTTTTTTATGTCAATGTCAATGGGTGGTACAGTGGCTCAGTGGCTAGAACTGTTGCCTCACAGCATGAAAGTCATTGGTTTGAGTCCCGGAGACTTCGTATGTTCTCCCTATTTTGCATGGGTTTTCTCCGGATGCTCCAATTTCCCCCACAGTCCAAAGATATGCGCTATAGGTGAATTGAATAAACTAAATTGGCTGTAGTGTGAGCGTGTATGGGTGTTTTCCAGTAGTCGGCAGCAGTTGGAAGGGCACCTGCTGTGTAAAACATATGCTGGATTATAATGTATGTTAAGGGACCATTAAAATTAAGTGTCAGCAGATATCAAATAGACAGTCTACTACTGTAAGTACTACTAGTTGTCATGTAATTATACAAACTTTTATAAAAGTAGACCAATAATATAAAATATAATCTTACTGATATAAAGGCACCAGAATATCACAGAGCTGGATGTAAATCTTTAAAAGGAAAAAAAAAAGAGTAAAAATCTAGTGTGAAAACTGCTCTTGAATACAACATGCTTAAACTGCATTCACGCACATTAGCGACTGATTCCCCATCAGGCGTAACTAAAGCTGAAGTCTACAGTAGACAGCTGAACCACGGCCATCCCATATAAACACCAGATTCTGCGACCTCATTTCTGCTTTTCATGGAAATCAAACTCTGCAAAATGTCCCATTTATAAACATACATGTTGTCGATTGCCCAGCCAGGCCCAAACAACACATACACTGCTGTCAGCTTCCTTTAGCAGGAATAATTCCACTGACAGACGTCTTGGTGGTTCAGAAACATCCAGATATAAACCCAAAAGCAGCGTGATTGGGAAGCTGAAGGTTTCTGGGTAGATCAAGCACTGTTCTGTGGTTTTGGAAAGGGATTTAGATGCCAAACGTGTTCTTATATGAAACCGTTTTCACATCTGCCCCACAGCTGCTGCTGCTGCGCTGGCCAGGGGTGCGAATGAAGATGAACAGCAAGGAGAAATGGTGGAAAATGGGCTGGGAAGGTAACATACGCTTAATAGAGTATAAATGTACTGTTGTAAATACTGTAAAGGCCAAGCGTATGGGCGCGGGACACTATTTATCTTTGTAACAAGAGAAAAACTACTGTGCACATAAAAGGTCAAAGTACATACTGTACATATGTGTTTACACAGTATTTAATAAAAGATTTAAATAACAACAGTGCTCCTATTAAAATGACCTTTATTCTAGTTTACTATTAGAATACTTCTTTTAAATATATATTTTTTTATTTGTATGTTCAGTTTACTTTTTATGTTCTTCTCTGAAATATACTTAATATTACAATCAGTATACTTGACGTTTTAGTGTATTTGGCCTATCCCTGTTCATTGACATATTCTTAATCAAAACTCTATGCTGAGTGACCTATTTTTTTCACATATATTAAATATTCATCTTCATAATCATCATTTCAGAGATAAGGCTTAAGGCTATTCCGAGACTAAACTGGATGTTTGAGCTGTCTAAACCAAAATGAACTTGCAGTGATAAATATTGAAATACATCAGTGCATTTGTTTTGTCTTGAGATGTACTCCAATAATGTATTTCTAAATTTTTTATTCATAAAAGCTGCCCTAATTTAACAGTTTTTCTTTGTGGAAAAACAAATATGCTACTGCATTGTAAAACCCAATTACTTTTTGAGGAATCCAACTGCGGTTAACCATTTAAGTTTTGCAAACTGGTACTATAATATATATGGGTTGATTTCAAATATTAAGAGTAGTAGTAATTTAAACATTTTAAGTTCAGTTAAGTTCACAGTCAAATCGATATAAGTTCAGTTAATAGAAGTCCAAACAACTATATAGCCACTCAAATGGTTTGGTATTGCTTCTAGCATTAGAGTTAACACAAACAAAAATATATAATAAATCAATTCATAACTCATTAGGCATGAGTTCTATTTAATGTAATCCGTTTATGAGTTACCATAACTCTTTTTCATTTAGTCAAATTTTAGTCAATTTTTTAAAATTATCAGTTAAACCAGCTTATTTCATTTAGTGATTTTTCACTGTTCAGGTTTTACAGTATACAGGTGTTCTTGCAGGCAGCATAGCCTTCAAATAATGATTAGTTAACTTTGCTAACTAATCTTTTTTCGCAATACCTAATTTGGTGCAAGGCACATTTGTCCTTAAACTAGTAACTCATAAGCTTTAGTCTATTTGTTGTAGTTTCATGTGCAAATTGGAACAACCTAAAGTACTTATTATACAGTATTTTGCCTGTAAAAGTTCATTACATCCTTGATTAGTGATATTACAGTGTAGTTTATTTGTATCACGAGTATATACAAATAAATTATGAGTTTATATATAGACCAAGTTTACTATTTCTGAGTAAAAAATATGCTGAGTGATCTTCAGCTTGCCTACTAAACTGCACATTTTATCTTCAATAAAACTATCCATGTATAACTATTAGGCTATTCTGGAGTTGTTTGAGGAGTTTCCCGCCATTTTTCGTTACCGTTTTATCAACGATTACAGGTAGGCTAAATGAAAAAAGGCAATGTAGAATTTTTAACAGCAGTTCTGATTGTGTCCAGCAGGTGCCATCTAAGCTCTATGTTCTTTGACACACTAGCCTGCAAACGTTCAGCTTGTAATGGGTTAACTTTCAACAGTGTTGTAATGCTAACCACAACTCAACAACACACTCAATGACTTGATAATGATAAACAGTCTTACTATCTAACCAGGGATCTTGTGAATCAAACCCAGGCACAAGGGAATCAGTTTAGAAAGCACATAAACATGTGGACTCACTGCTCCAGGATTAGCTGTT